TACCGGGGCGGGCAGGAGAGCGACTGGGTGTCTCGTCTAGGAGAGGACCTCGTGGCCTTCAACATGGGAGACGAAAAGGAAGGGGGGAAATGGAAAGAGAGCGCCAAGGACTCGGAGGTGTGATACAACAAGGTCGAGGACGGGGCGGCATGGTTTATGAGGAATTGGCACAGGCAGGAGGCGGAAGCGTCCGCGAAGCGCCAGCGCGCGCGGGAAGCAGAAGCAGAGAGTACGACCATCTCAGGACCGAAGAGAAAGAGAATCGGGGAAGCGGCGGTGGGGGGGAAGAAACGGCNCCGAGGCAACGCTTGTGGCGAACTATGCACCCGGCTGATGTTGTTGCGCCCTGTGTCCCTCCCTGCCGTATGCTATACTCCTTGATGTATGTCCTTTTATTGCCTTCGGCCTCTGTGCTGTGTTTCTTTTTTTCATGACCTCCCTGCCTGCTCTGCTATGTTGGGTACCTTGATCTTGCTTTGCTGTTGCCTTCTTTTTGTACGGCTGTCTGTCTGCCCATCTGCCGCCTCTTTGCCCTGTTTGCTCCGTTACTCCCATGCCCTGGTGCGCAGTGCCTGGTGCTGGTACGTTACCCTTTGACTTTTTCTTTGGGCGGGTGTGGGAAGCGTCCTCCTTTATTTTTTTGTTATTTTTGTTTTGTTTTATTTTGATCGGTCCGAGGGCTCTTTTCTCGAACGGTCGGTGCGATACCTGTTCTTTTCTTTCGATCATTTTGTTTTCTTTTTCCGAGTGGTTTGTACCCTATTTTTTTTTTTTTCTCGCGGCGTCGTATGTGCCGGGTTTTGAGACCACGGGCTCCCCATTTTTCGTGGACTATAGAGCTAATGTGAGAAACAACAACAACAACAACACAAAAGTGTAGGAAGATATAGCTCCATCGGAGTATCTTGTCGCTGGGAGAGTAACAAGAAACGTACCGTCGGAGATCTGCTCTTCCGAAGTCCCTGGCCACTTGCCGAGAGAAGAAGCGGAGAGTCTTCGACTCTCCTCCCCTTCTGCTCTCTCTGGCCATTCTCTTTCTCTTTCTACCCTCTTCTCCTCGTTTACATCTCACGAAAGGAAATAGCCACCCTTGGCAGTGGGAGAATACTGCAAGAGTACTGGCCTCAGTTTCCGATAACCTCATTGGTACCATTTCACCTCAGTGAGTACGGAGCGTTCGAGATGATACCCCTTCACCAACATTGGACAGGTCCGAATGAGTCGATCGGACAGGGCAGATATTTCTAATACGTTTTCGTCGATTTCGGCGGCTTCATTTCATATCATGCGATTGTCTCTTCGTGATCGCGGGCCTCTCCACACTCGCAACAACCAACAGGCCGACATTCCGACCCGGCGGCCAGGCGATGTGTAATGAAGGGCATATAAAGAACATTTACGTTGACAAAATTTGAACACAAACGCACCAACACCAGAATTTTCACAAGAGACACACGATACCAGTCGGAAGGCATCGCGGAAAACATAGGAAAAATAACGACACACACATAAAAGCTACCCGTTCGAGATATACCCACATGCGAACGGAATGTGGTAGAGTCTATTCAGTGGGCGGGGGAAAAAACCGGCTGGGTACTGGACTTATTTCGAAGACAGAAATAATTGATTCTGGCACAGGGCGGCATAAGAGGTTGCTCAAAAAGTACATTCCACGCGTCTACCTCCACCTCCTTTGAAATCAAGACAAAAAAAATTCGCACAATTCTAATTTGGAGTCAAAAGAGCCCAAACGGCAGGTCGGTGTTGCTGTGAATGTGGTGCATTTCATTAATTTCACTAGAGGACAGCCAATAGCAGCGGTGTGTGTATGTTGGCGCCCTCAATTCTGCTTCTGTGGTGGTGATGTCGAGGGTCATAGTTGTGGCCTACAATCTCCGCAAATCTTCGCAAATTCGATCGACACTCAGTGTCTTGTACTGCTTGTGTTCGCCGCCACTGACCCCAATCTCCTGAACTGCGGGGTTGCAGCAGTAGCTGGTGCCACTACTTCGCTACTGCTGACAGCTGACAACCTCAGTTCAGGGGTTTACGATCCGTGGCGGTGAGCACCGCTGTGACAAATGTGGGATTTCGCTTGGTTCCGGCGCAGATTTCGGACTGTTCTCCGACCTTCGATATTTCAGCTCCAGGAGCAAACGCGAGCTTGCCAGCACGCACGACGCCTCTTTGATGGTGTACTCTACTGATGACAATATTACGCATCAAATTCCTCCGGCGGGGAGGCTGTTTCCTTTCTTTGTTTTGGATTCAAGTATTAATATGGAGGCAGTGTCAAAGTTGATTGTCTGCCATACCTCAATCAATCCCCTTTGCTTACGCTCGTTCTGACGAAGCATTTTCTCGAAGTTCGGCGTCGATTGGCTGTAATGTGTCGTTTGCAGTCCGACCGTCCGATTGAAGTGCCTGGTATAGCAGTAGTATCGGCATCGATTTTGTGAGGCGGGAATGGGCAGAAGAATTACGTGCGGGGTGCTTGCTGATCAACCTATGTCCGTTTTTCAGTGGTAGGCAGGCAGTGGTTAACCTCGAAACCCACGATTATAGGAGTGGGTTGGGGTCGTACTCTTCTGTTTTGCATGCCTTAGCGGTTAGACTATTGACCACGCGTCCTCGAGAGGACGGAGCATTATTCCCACACGACCGATCACCGATGGCCATTTTTTCGTTCCACTTTACCAAAAGTGGCTCAAGAATATCTTCCCTCGCCTACCTATCCTATCGACCACTTCCCGCCTATTCAAACCACGTCCCATGCTCCAGTACAGCTTCCGTCGTCTCCTGGCTATTCCATGCAGTAGTATGTTGGGGATGGGTTCTTTCTCAGTTTTCAAGAACAAGGCTTGCAATTTGCGGTGGAAAACGATGAACTCGTGGTGAGTATACACACTTTCGACTTCGTGGTCGACAAGGGAAAAAGGGCGGCGAATGAGTGAGCTTTTTCGCGACAGAAACTAAGGCAGGCTCCGCCTAACGAAAGGGTAGGAGTTGATCAGGGGGAAAACTCCCATTTGGCCTTGCTCTTGTCTGTGCGACCCTGGTTGATACGTCGAAACGGGAATTACATCGAAAGGTGTGGGGACTGGCGCCAGAGAAGAAAGATGGTACGAACACAGTACACACGTACGTTACAAGGCAAACCTGGGAAAAACACCCTACGCACTTACATGGACTGTGGCATACCTCTGAGCCCCTTGAAACGCACGGGGTCATTCGTCGTCTGCGAAGTCCAGCCAATCTCATAAATATATCCGTTTTTTCACAGAAAGCACGATATATTTTTCGTCAAAGTCTGGCTGCAGCAGTTGAAGCTATCGGGGTGCCGGGCGGCGAATGGTTTCGCGGACAACCTGGGCGTAAACTTTATAATCGTTGCGCGCAAACAAGTGATCGTATGGTCAGTCCGGGACAATTTGTCCATTTTGTTTTTTCGCGATAACTTTCGAAAAAAAAGCGAATTGATAAGTCAAACAACTTTGGCCGTGACGGCGGCGTCGAGCTGCGTCGAAATCCGATGAATTTTTGTTTTTTGGACGAAATGCGACATTTTTGACAAAAATGATTCACGGAACCCCCTACCCCCCCCCCAAAATGCATCACGGGGCCCCCTAACCACATCACGGAACCCCCTAATCATACAGGCTTCACGTTGTTTTTACCATCCTTTCAGCACCGAAAGCACACACTTCGCACCTTCTAAATGGAGAGGCCCCGCCTTTAAATAGCAGATATTTACACCACGAACAACAGGTACCGACATGCAACAAGCAACGCTGCCATGCCTACTAAGCCGCAGAAACATCAAATCACGCCGACGCCAAGACGTTGGTTAACACGCATAAGAAAGTATGTACAGACATTGTTACCACGCATGAACGCCACAAATCAACAGCACCGACACCACCACACAACCATCCAGCCCGATAAATCTCATGCACATTCTGCTGCTTTTCTCGACCAGTTATCAACCAACGCATTCCACCCTCTCTTCACTTCCACGCGCCGCCAGGCCTTCTTGTAGGCTCTCCTGACCTTCCACGCCTTGAAAACCTTCTTCGATCTTCTAATCGACTCAGTACGCAGCTCCTGTGCAGCTGCCAGAGCCTTCTCCTCTGCTTTCTTCTTCTTCTCCGACGACTTCCCGGCCCCCGCCCTGGCCAGGACCACAGAGTCACCCCTCTCCGTGGGAGAACGGTGGCTCAACCATTTCTTGAGGTCTCGGACCTCAAGGTAGTCCACCAGCCCCTCGTCGTAGGCCTCGAGGTACAGCCACGTCACCCTGCTCCACCCGCGCATAAATCTCAGCGGAACACCACTCAGGGCGCCGGGCAGAATCTTGAGCATATGCTTCAGAGAGTACTCGCAGTGCAGGCGAAGGAGGTGCTTGACGTATCCCCAGTACCGCTCGATGGCGTTGAGCTCTGGGTGATACTTCGCCAAGAAAATGCAGATGTGCCCCGCTTTCTTGAACATCTTCTCGATCTTGTTGAGCTCCATCTTGAACGCCTTGAGCTCGGCAAAAACTCTGCCAATGCAGCAGCGACTCCTCGTGCCGACATGGTTGCCAGCCGCCCCGCCCGCTGCCCCCTCCCCTGGCGAGCCTGCACTTTCTCCGTCGGTTTCGTCTCTACGCGCAGCGTCATCCAACGCCTGCTGCCTTCCCTCTCCTCCGCGGTTGAACGAGGTTATGGCTGCCCGTGTTGCCGCCCTTTCCCCCTTGCACGCTTTGCACTCGAGAACGCGAACTGGGTCCTCGCCAGGAACGTCCCACAGGCCCATCTCCATGAGCATCTGCTGTCCACCTTTGGCCTGGCCGATCAGGCGGGATGTACGGCCGCTCGCCCGGATTTCGGTGCCCGCCGCGAACTCTCCCAGGTTGTCGCCGTTCCTGGGCTTCTTGTACTTGGGGTTCCTTTTCAGCTCCTCCTCTTCCGCCTTCAGCTGCTCGGGCGTTTTCGCTGCGTAGACTTGCGCCTTGAAAAGAAGCTTGTCGCCCGCGCGAAACGTGGTGCGAACGAGGTTCCCCTCGTCATCGAGGAAATCATCGAGGATGGCCTGCCCACCCCCCGGGCCCTTGTTGATGTGACTCGCCACCAAGGCACTGGTCTCGTACGCGGCGTGCCCCGTGGAGTTGTCGAAGACCATGACCAGTGGCCGGTGGGGCTCGCTTGTCAGCTCGTGGATGGCGATGAGCCCCGGGATCTGCTTGCACATTCTCTCGTTGTTCCAGAACCCGTCTTGGTTTTGCCCCACCGTCATGATGACCGCCCCGGTGGAAGGGTCGTTCTCTGTTTTCGTCACCCCGCAGTCATCTGGCATCGCCTTCAGCAACTTCACCGCATCCTGTACGAACTTCACGGCGTGGCCGTCCACCCCGTCGCCCTCTTGCCTGCCAAAGTAGATTCCGGACCGGCCATTGTATAGAGTAGACGCCCCATGCTTTGGCGCCTCCCCGTCCTCGGTAGCCGGCTCGACCTCAACCAGGTCTACCACATCTTCCAGCACGTCCATGTCTTCCTGCATCATGCCCCAGGCCTCCTTCCCGATCACCGCAACCCCTCTATCCACGCCGATGATGTCAGACACGTGCACGGCCCGCCCTTCCCCTTTCTTCTTGATGGCGGCGCCTTTTTCTATCGACATCCACTGGCAGCCGCCATCGTCGTTCTCCTTCGCCGTCGTCTCGTCGTGGAAGTAGAGGGACATCACCTCGTGATCAGGCACTAGGCAGAAATCCCCTAACCCGTCACTCGCGGACAAGTCGCGCCGGTTGAACGGCACCCGCGAGGAGACTACGAATGGCGTGCGCTTGCAGTCGTAGCACGCGCAGTCAGGATCGAGCCAGTTCGTCACTCCCAAGCGCTTGCAGTCCCCGCACGATTGCTCTCCGTCGTGGACACGCACGTGCTTGTACTCCTCCTTGCCAGCCACTACCCGCCTCGCCGGCCAGAGAAGCACCTCCTCCGTAACGCTCTTCGCCTCGTAGCACTTCTGCACTTCACGATCAGGCACCAAGCTGTAGTCGCCCCCCCGATCGCGCATCTTCAGCTGGTCCTCATCGATGCAGACACGGGTGCAGTCATCGTCTCCTGTTGCCTCCGTGAACTGGTTGCCGTAGACGAGCACGTGCTTGGAGTCCACCCGGCCGTCGGGCATCTTTCGTACGACCGGCCAGAGCACCGGCTCCTTACCAGCGGCCAACCCAGTGATGCTGCCGTCGCTGTCGCCCATTGCCGATTCCTCTCCCTCCTCCGCATCGCGGACCTTCACCATCACCACGGTTTCAACCTTTTCCGGGCTGTGATTTCGAGTTTCGGGGGCAGCGGAGGGAGGGCATGCGCCAAGGGCGTGATCAGTGAAGGACGCTTGTCTTTGCACTAAAAAAAAACAAGCAATGACGTGGGAGCTAAAGCGTTGTGTGTGGGAGGAGTGCAAGGTACAGCAGAACGATGGCCAATCAAAACACAAAATTTTAAATGAGTTCGACATAACAGCGCAGTGGACGAGCACCGAAGCGAGGCCAAACACCTTGTCACCGTATGCCCGTAGCGCGAAATTCGTTCTTTTTTTTTTCGTGATTGCCTGACGAAACAGCATGTACAGTTCTACCAGTATCGCAACCCTGCATTCATGCGCACAGCGAAAAAAACACGGTCGACTAAAAAAAAAGTAGAGGTCGCATTCTGCCTATAGTCCACGTCTAAGTGTCTAGGTTTTGGGGGGCGCACACACCTACAGCAGTATTGAACGTTCGCCAAAGAAACACTCTACTTATGCTACCTGCATTTTTGCCGTGCATACTCGACGCTGAACGCTTTGCGCTCTCCCTCCTCTTCGCCGCCTACAACTCAACCAGGTGACAGCTCCGCCGCCTCTCCACACCACTCACATGGATATTATGCGACGCATGACGAACATCTTCTCCGTGTATAGCCTCCTGGCCTCGACGACGTCCGGTCGGTTGTGGCCGTCCACGTACACGCACTTGCCGTGCCGGCGCCACCTGAATCCGAGCTGGCTGATCCAGTGGTGCGCTGTGCTGCGACTAATGCCCCCACCGTCTTTGAATTCCTCTTCCAGGCACACCTCGTTCACCCATCTGACGCGCAGCACCAAAGAGAGGGTTGGACTGTTTCAGAGAATGAAGGGCCGCGAAAAACAATCGCACACTGCCCAAACACTGCGAGACAAACAAGACAGAGCACGCGCCAGAACAAACGACACTGCACCCTCCGCTTCCTCGCCTGAAAAAAGCTCACCTGTGAAAGTCGGCGACCCGAAAGCGAGTTCCCTTCCGACGGTAAATCCGCTCGTCGATGTACTCCCGGCACTGATCTCTGATGTCCTCGTCGTCGATGTAGGTGAAGGGCTGCCGCTTCACGTATGCTCGATCGGGCACGACGAACTTGCCGTCCTTGCAGAACTCCGTCACCCACCGTCGGACGGTCTTGGCGTGGACGCCCGCGCCCTCCCCGACGGCACGGCTGTGTACCATCTTCTGCACACCATAGCGTATCCTATTGGGGGTAGATTTTCAATCGCAGAAGCTCAAAAATTAGTCGGAATTCTAAATTCAACCAAAGTAAACAGCGGAGGCCATCACAACTCGGGTATTAGCACGCCAGTTGTTGGCTTGCGCAGCGTAGAGAAAGCTAACAACACGGTGGACCACCCTGGAGTGGGCTACGAACTAAGACGTCCTGCTGCACTACACGCTTCTGTGATACATAAAACTCCAACAGGAGGCGCTTGTGAACATGCCAAGTGGATTTTGCCCCTTGGGGAGGGGGTTTGTGACATTCTCGACTTGTGTGTTCATTCAAACGTCCGTGGCTCGACCCTATTCTTTTTTATTTTTTATTTTTAATGTATCGACCAGCAAAATTCGTGCGAGCAGCATACATACACTACCAACCACTCACTCGAGATCGAAGTACGCCCGGACGACGGAGATCACCCGACAGACACAAGCAATACGTTCCGGTGTCAGCATCCTCTCTTCGTTCTCCACGAGGCTCGCGAGGTCGTTGCCGACCTGCACAGCGGCATGTGAAGTCGTTTGATGTGTGGTTTGGGCTAAAGGTCTGGTCAGGCGCTGACTGAAACATGCAGTAGTGGTGGTTAGCACGACCATGTGTCCAATAGCAGCAAGCATCAGAGGCGGAAAGACTTTGAGGCACACCATTCAGCTGAGGCACCGACGCCGCAAAACAAAAAAAACATGCACACACACACACACACACAAAACACACACAGCTTTCTGAAGACCGCACAACACACACCAAACACACCTTATCGATCTTGTCCCGCCCCTCGCAGAAGGTGTCGATAAGCTTCTTCTGGCGCTCCGTGCAGTTCCTGCGCGTTCTCCGTGCACGACGTTCTCGTCGCTCCTTTGTCCACAGCTGTCCCACCAGCTTCACGCCCGCCCGGCGGAGGGTACGCTGCCCCTTGTGTGTCTTGCCGCTACACCTCTCCAGCCGGTTTGCGACCTCACCGGGCATCATCACCCGATTTCCCCGCCCGGGCCCGCCCCGCTCTACGCGTTGAGCGCTGGCACGTTTGAGGGGGGCGTATGCCTTCCTGGATGTCTCTCTCGTGCTCCTTCGGACCGGCTGTTCGGCGGCTGCGCTTGTTGCTCCAGATGAACTGCTCCTGGCGTTTGCTGCTGCTCCGCCGGCACCGCTCTCTTCGCAACCGGCTCCCATCGCTGCTGCTCCGTCGGCACCGCTCTCTTCGCATCCGGCTCCCATCGCTGCTGCTCCGCCGATACGCCGAGTCTCAACATCGCCGTCGACTTCCACGTCGTTCTCTCCGCCGCTGTCGAGCGAACCATCGCTCCACTCTGCCGGGTAGTCAGTGCCATCGAGAAAGCCTCTACTCCCGCACGAAGAGTATCCGTCGCAGTGCTCCCCCAAATCTCCTTGCTTTTCTTCTTGTTCGCACTCACCGACCCAATACTGCACTGCCAGATCCGCACCATCTTCAATCAGCATGTCGGTTTCGCTGCAGCTATCGCTATCCCTCTCGCCCTCGCCTTCGCCTTCGCCATCGCCATCGCCGTGTGGCGCCGAGCTGCATGCAGCAGCAAGCACAGAACCGCTGTCTTGCTCTCCAAGCAGTTCCTCCTCCGCACCTTGCGTCTCCGAACTTCGAGGCAAAGACTGCTGCGACTGTCTCACATCTCCTAACCCCAGCCACGTCGCCATGAAGCCCGCCATCTTGGGTTTCGCAGAATCAAGCGCAGCCCGTTTGCGGCGGTGGATCGTCGCTCGACAAGGTTGCGCCGCACGCAAACGCGGCGCAATTTCGGGGCAGAGCGACTGAGCGGTGCGAGCTACTGCTGCGGACACGCCAGCACCGGCGGACCCGAAAGACAGGGTGGCCTGACCTCCACCTGAGGCAGCATCAGTGTCCTCGTTGCGCCAGTCCTCGTCGTGGTCGTCGGCTGGGTCTTCATCGACTTCCATGGGAGAAAAAGTGCTCCCCTCGGATGGCTCGGGTGTGTCGGCGGGAGGAGAAGCAGACGAGTCACCGCTCAAAAACGTGCCGTTGCTGCTCCTTTTCGGGACGCGCCTTTTTTTTGTTGGCCGACCCATCACTGCTGGTGATGCTGAGCGCCGCTACAGCACGTGCGGGCGTGGGTTGTGCCCTCGCGCAAGGTCTACGTGGTGGTGTGGGTGGGTGGGTGTGTGGAAGAAAAAAATGGCGCCAGCGGCACAACAAAATCGAGGATATCTCGCGAACCAGAGTTTTTTTCGAAAATCGGAAAAGAAGTGTACCTGGGGATTCCCGAGAGGGATCGATTGCCGTGGTCTTTTTTGAAATCGTATGGTTGGTTATCACAGGAAAAAGCGAACAAATATTTCGAGTTATTTGCAAATAAACCGCGAACAAAAAAAAAAAATTTAAAAATCGCAATCCGTACGGAACTGCGCCTGGAGACAGGGCGTTTGCCGGTACTTTCGGTTTTCGGAACAACCACCTGTGTGCAGAGAAAAGTGCACCTAAAGGCCGGACGGCATAATGGACAATTTGCCCCCGACTGACCATACATCGAAGTACCTTTGGCTCTCGGCAAGAAATGTTTGAACGAAACTTTGCTTTCGACCATTAAGTAGTAGTCCCTCTTGGCATTGACTGGTGTTTGCTTGCCACCAATAATCAATGACGACCGCTGCGTACGTGTGCGCAGATAACATGTGACACGAACACGCACGTGGAGGTGCTCGACGGAGCCACCGTCGAGATGACCTCGGTGCTAGCGTCGACGAAACTCAACAACGTCAAGTTCTGGGTGAGGGAGGGGAACTTCTCGTGCTCCGTACCCATGCTGGACTGGACGAGCGTCGAGACCTCACCGGTGAGTTCCGCTGCCCCGTGTGTACTTGCGTGTGTGAGAGCGGGGCGGGTAAAATTGTTGGGGGGGAGGAGCTGTCCCTGCAGCAGCATCTGGAGTAGGGTAGTCTTTCTATCGTGTCATGTGCGGCACGTTTTCTTTTCGGTTAACATATATCGGCGAAATGAAAAAGATTATTCCCAAACACGGAAACATCGTTGCCTTGCAAACGTCCCGAAATCCCCCCTGAAGCGGCACTTAGTTGCCCCTTGCTCGACAAAAAGTGTCTTGTTCTATGAACAGTCTTCGTAGAGTGTCATCTCTCGACAAACAGGCTTATCTGTCATTTCTCCGCAACAGCTCGACTCACATGTTGTTACACTTCGACTGGCTTGTTTCGAGGACAAAAGTCCGCCTGGTACTTCAAAGGAAAAGCAACAAACATCTTCTTCTTCGCACAGTCCGACCCATCTTCCGGTGATGGTCGTTCGCGCGCGCGTGGCGAAGGGGGGGCATTGGTATTGCCGCCAACGCATGTTCAAGAAACTAGGAGCGTACGGACCCCATGTAGAGGAAATGAGCACACGATGACGGCGGGAGGGGGGGGGGGGGGCTT